GGTGTTGGTTAGGTCTAGTTGATTTCGGTTTTAAGTTCAGACATTTGATGACGTAATCGGTCAACATAACTGGCAGGGTCTAGGCTATCTAAATTTGTGACAGGTACTACTAACTCTCCTGGTAATCGAAGAGTGGAACCAAAATAACTCTGCGCACTACATCCCAGATCGGCTTTCAGAGATGAACGAAGACTAAGTAATATGAGTGGCAATGACTCGGTCCATCTGTTTGGTTCGCTTTGTGCTTTGAAAGCTGATTTGAGGGAACGATGAAATCGTTCAACTAATCCATTTGCAGCTGGATGGTAAGCAGTGGTGCGAGTACGTTTTGTACCAAGTAGTTGTGATAGATGCTTGAAAAGATTTGATTCAAACTGGCTACCTCTATCAGTAGTAATTGTAGTAGGGACGCCAAATGTGGCTATCCAATTGCTGACAAAAGCTTTTGCAACTGTTTCTGCAGTAATGTTAGAAATTGGTATTGCTACAGGCCACCTGGTAAGTATGAAAAACCATTAGATGGAGGCAAGGGACCGACGATATCAATATGTACATGGCTGAAACGAGCGTCAGGTGTTGCAAAGGTACCTATCGGAGTCACTGTGTGACGATGTACCTTGGCACGTTGACACTGAATGCAATGTTTGGTCCAATTTCGAACATCTTTATTGATAGAAGGCCATACAAATCTTTGAGTTATTAAGCGTTGTGTTGCTCTAATGCCTGGATGGGATAGACCATGGAGTGAATCAAATATATCATGCCTAAACTCTGATGGAATATATGGGCGTGGTTGACCAGTTGATGTATCACAAATAATGGTATTATGTGATGTTAGAATAGGCAATTCTTCAAAATGAAGACTAGACGATTCACGTAGCTTAATTAGCTCTGGGTCTGTCTTTTGCTTAAGTGCTATTTGATCGAAATCCACAATTGTGTTTGATAGGCTTGTGTGATTAAGTGAGTTCACGTCATACCTTGAGAGCGCATCTGCTACAACGTTTTCTTTGCCTTTAATGTGGCGTATGTCGGTACTGAATTGAGATATGTAGTCTAAATGACGAATTTCTCTCGGTGAGTAGCGATCTGGCTTTGCCTTGAATGCGTAAATCAAAGGTTTGTGATCAGTTATGATATAAAAATCACGACCTTCTAGAAAGTATCTGAAATGGCGTATCGATAAGTATACGGCCAACAACTCACGACCAAATGTACTATACCTGGTCTCTGCTGGCTGTAAACGCTTAGAAAAAAACGAGATTGGTCTCATTTCATTATCTATGCACTGATTAAGTACACCACCAACCGCAAAATTTGACGCATCGACCATTAAACAAAGTGGAGCATCGCTAACTGGATGGACTAGCAAGGTGTTTTTCAGCTAGAGTGGATTTAGCTCTTTGAAAGGCAAGTAATTCTTGTTCTGAAAGCACAATCGCAATGTTCTTTTGCTTGCAACAAAGAAGATCTGTCAAAGGTTGCAAAATGTCAGCGCAGTGTGGAATAAAACGCCGATAGAAATTTATCAATCCCAAAAATTCTCGCAGTTTACGCAGTGAGGTTGGTGCTGGGAAGTCTTGGATAACCTTAACCTTACTTTCCAAAGGTCTGATACCGCGACAGTCGATGTTATGACCTAAGAATTCTAGGCTAGTTACTCCAAACTCACATTTGCTTGGGTTGATTACAACACCAAATTCACGAAGGTGATCGAAAAGTAGCCTAAGATGACATTCATGCTGTTCGGCATCATCACTCGCTATCAATAAATCATTGATATATGCGTAAACAAAATCGAGACCATGCAAGACTTGATCGATAAATCTCTGAAATGTTTGAGCTGCATTCCTTAAACCGAACGGCATACGAATATATTCGAAGAGGCCGAAAGGTGTAGTAATCGCGGTTTTTAGGAATGTCTTCAGTCCGCAATAGGTATTTGATGGTAAGCCTTAACTAGATCGATTTTGCTAAAGATCTTTTTACCATGTATACTTGACGTAAAATCGTGGATATGCGGAATGGGGTATCTATCGGGTTCTGTGATATTATTTAGAGCACGATAATCGTCACAAGGTCTCCAATCACCGGATTTTTTAGGCACCATGTGTAAAGGTGAGGACCATTGACTATCTGATTGGCGAATAATCCCTAATTCCAACATATGATCAAATTCGGCTTTAGCTGCTGGCAGTTTGTTTGCAGCAAGTCGTCTAGGACGTGCATACACTGGTTGTCCAGTAGTTTTAATGTGATGAGTGACATTGTGCTTAACGGAATTTTCCTTGTAGTTTGGCCTAGTTATTTCTGGATATGGCTAAGCAAGGAAGTAATAGCATTGTCACTGTTAGGCATGGCAAATATTGGGCTAGGTGAAATTACAGAGGCTTTGTTACCTGAAACTGTCAGTTCGGTTAGTGAATCAATTAACCTGCGATTTTTAACATCTACCACTAGAGAAAAATGCTTCAGGAAATCAGCGCCGATAATCGGTACAGGCACAGCTGCGATAATGAAAATCCATTTGTAATTACGCCTTAATCCGATATTCAAAGTCATAGATCTCTCTCCGTGAGTGGTAATGGGGTTTTATTAACCGCTTGTAACGTATATGAACTACAGTTGCATTTATCTTTACTGGTAGGTGGTATCACGCTTACTGTCAACTAGAAATCTAGTACCAGTAGTTTTGTCTGTAATATAAAATAGACGACTGTTTGTTTTGCCAGACAAACTCGTCGTCCCTAGTTGCTGGCTTTCTAGTTTTCCTGATTTGCCGTCTTAGGTTTAGTCTCAGTGTAGGAACAAGGTTTGACACATTTAGTAGCTTCGTCTCCAAATCGCCAGTGGTACCAGCACTCGGAACCCGCGCGTGGTACGTCACTTCTAGACTTAGACGGACTTCTGTATCTTTCGGTATTTTTACTTTTACTTTTAGAACGCTCTCGACTACGCCCACGAGAGGAAAAGTCACGGTTACGTTTACTTTGTTGACTGTTGACAACAAGTGTTTGAACTAGAGCTGTTAATTGGTTGACCTGACTTTGTAATTCATCCATTTGCGATTCAATTGCGTGGGATGAGGACATTGCATTCACTTCGGTAGAAGTGGCTACTGTGGGCGGAGATATGCGACTTCTAAGATTTTATCGGCAATAACTGCCAACTGTTCTAAGTCTACACTATCACTAGTCGATGCCAATATCAATTGTATGTTCTGAGGCAAACGTTGGAGAAATAATTGTCGCAAGATTTTTTCTTCGAGATTGTTTTCTCCTAGAAGTTGCTTCATACGGCGGAGAAGCTGTGATGGCTTTCTATCGTCGAGTTCCTCAGAAATTAAAAGTTGGTGCAATCTTTTTTGCTCGGATTCTGATGTTCGTTTAATGAGTTCCGATTTCAACTTGTCATTTGGTCACCTGCAGGAGGGCTAATTATAGTTCCCGAACTTCTTGCGCGATTTCTGGTTGTAGTGACGATACTACGTACGCGAATTTAGTTGACTGGCTTGTAATTTGGCGAGTTTGAAACTGCGCCTCTACTTGCGCGAACCATATTGTAGGATCGTGTGGCCAAAAAGGTGGCAATTTAAGGCTAACCGCATACAAAGGTTCTACTGTCTCTGGTGCTTTGGCCATACTTGGGTAACAAATATACTTAAATTAAATGAAACGTATGTACATAATTTCTAAACTGAAGAATTACTTCGAAGTGCCTGTCGGTCAAAAGAAAAGGATCTACACATTTCAGAAAACTTAAAAGGCTTAAGTACTCTTCTATCGCGAGTTGTATCATAAACAAAAGTTGTTAAATCATTAATTCCTGCGGCTAATCTGACTATCACTTGGTCAGATTGATTGTAAGTATGAAGTTTTCCGGACAACTGGACCTACAAGATTATAAATTTTAGCACCGCGATATGTCAAATAATCAATGGCAAAAGGAAACTGTGATGCTTTGGGATACTTGTTGAAATTATGTCCTCGCGAATCCGCAGCGAATAAACAACGAATCATTCCCTACTTATGAACTACTTATGAGAAATATTTTTATACAACGCTACAAATTTTATTTTTAATGTTAGCCGACGGAATGAAAATGTAAATGAAAGAGTTTCGGCCAACGTCAGGGTCACCAGTTTTAGGGACTAAGTTATATTATAAATATTTACCCTAAATTAATATCTGGAGTCTGCGCTCTAAACTTGCAGCGGCTTCTTCTGGACTCCTGGTTGTTCGTCAAACTTCTCTTGGTTTGGTCGATGATAATTATTTACAGGCGTATATACAAAAACTAGTGTGTCCTTCCACGGGAACAGTCACTGTAAGGAGCAAACACTACCTAATGGTTCCTATTCCCGTATCCGGACACATATGGCATAAAAATGGCGACTGGAACTGTAGAGTAGACGACTATAACACTGCTAAGTCTCTACACAGCGAAGGAGTGGGGTGGTGAAAGCATGTGCTCCTGGTTTATATACCGACGCGTAGAATGGAATGCCCTGCCCTGCCCAGTCAAAAGAACTGAACACAATAGAAACAAAAATGCCTTGGCCACTAGGGCAGAACTCGGAACAAAAAAGGACTTAACTGACTTTTTATTTCTTCGGCCAGGACTGCACATAATATATACAGCTGCTGTAGGAATTTCACTACAACACCTCTATGTTCCGACTGCACATATTCCTATTCCTAACCCTAACCCTAACCGGGAGTAACACAATCTAGGTTGTCGGAACATAGGGTGTCGGAACATAGAGCAGTCACCGTGGAAACAGATGGGGTCAGTGGGCATAAAGTACAATAATATGCAGACGTGCAAAAAATTCTAAGTACAGCGGATGCACTTGTCTTCTCAAGGAAGGGAAGGCGCGCTTGTGAAGGGGCAATGGAGGCGCGGAGCCTTGGAGTCTTGGAGTCGCGCTCCGGTAGAGGGCGCAATTCTCGGCAGTAGGTCGACTACTGTGGCTCATATCCATATGAATGATCCTAGGACTTCATTTTTTTTAGAACGAAGCATCCATATCCATGTTAATTTCCTCGCAGAGGAAGGGAGGGCGCGCTTGTGACGGGGCACTGGAGCCGTGGAAGCGCAGAGTCTTGGAGTCACAGAGTCGCGCGCCAGTAGAGGGTGCAATTCTCGGAGGTAGGTGTCGACTACGGCTCCACGCAGCCATACGGAGGCGCGGATATAGAGTGAAGTGGCCCTGTATTCTATAGTTGTGCCCAAAAATGTTCCACGCAAGGTCAGGGTTGTCAGATGTTTCAATATCACTCCAAGGAACCTGTCTAAGGTCATTAATAAAATCACTTTCATTAACTGTACGGTACGACCATCCCCTGATGTTACAGGCAGGCCCCTTAGGAGCTGACCTTTATGCACAGCATAGATTAGTGAATGGTCACTTACAGTTGATGTTAAACACCATTGTGTGAGTACATTTCTGGACAAGATGTCCAGACATGGTCAATGAAGGTTTCAGAAGTACGAGTAATACGAGTTGGTTTAGACATAACGTGAGTTTAATTGAGGTGTTGACATTAAACAATGACTTTAGTTCTCATTGCTTATCCTTAGCTTGGCAGGGGAAGTTCTGACAGATATCCACAGCATGATACCTCACCAGTCAAGATAATATCAAGCAAGTACAGACCAGTCAGGAGGATATCAAAACCAACACAAGAGGTTTGTCAATAGCATCTTTTTATTTGTCTTCGTTCATGTTAATGTGAGGGTAGGCGACGCCCGGCGGCGGCAGCGTCCCTGGGTTTGAAGAACTGACGATCCTTCGGATTGGAGGGTGTGTGCCCTCACGGCAAGAGGACTCCCAACAAAGAAATTCATTCAGGTCTTGGTTCATTAAAATCCTTGGTGTATAAAATCCTTGGTGTATAAAAACTCTTGTGTATCAAATCCCTGAAATATAACAACATAAATAAATATCTGATACAAAAGTTAATCATACAAGTTCTACGGCATTAAATAATTAAATCTCTACAACATAATAATAGTAAATAAACGCAATCAAAATATAACCTTGACTCACCCAACTCTTGTTGGTTTGCAATCATGGATTATAAGCCTGTGTCATCACCTTGTGCAATGTACCTAGCATACATGAAAGTAATGTAAATATAGTTTAAATTTATAAACAAACTTCCCTGTAAAATCATGCATTTCACAGCGCGCAGCTTAAAATAGAAAATAATACATGTACCGTGCGCGATTGTCATGGATACGACCCCAAAGGTGACCAAAAGTTCCCACATGTACAGCGCGCACGTGAGCGTAATGCTGTATAGAAAGCAACGCTTCACAGTGTACAAGTACAAATTGAATACAAAATCTACGTGTAAAAGTTGTGACACGCGGGTTCTGTGAATCAAAGTTTAGGCAACAAAAAGTTATCCAAAATCAATGCAAATTGATCTAACCCAAGATTAATCTCCAGTTTCAGATACTTCTGTGATCCTTTACGATACCCACTGTTCATTCATTACACCCAATCATGATTTAAAAGCAACATAAAAACGGGATATTTACCGGATCGTTTCTGGCTATCCTGCACTTATTTCATGCAGAGTGCATATGAGAACTGCACTTAAAAGGGCGCCCTCTTGGGCTCAGAGGTTGACACTTAAGTGGGACCCTCACATTAAAAAAAACAACAACTTGGGACTCCATACATAAAGGGTAGATGGAGGGGACACTGATTTTACGGTGAATGTGCCTGGACCCGTGGCATTTTAACTTCGGCACAATGCACCATCAGCAATGTGTTCAAATGTCCCTCCCAGTGGTTCCCCTAACTTTCCTTTTTTGTGTGAAACCATTGTTAGTGTGTAATTGTGCATTACATTTGTAAGATGATGATAGGCCCTTTGCTCAGTTGCGGCTTCACTGGCAAGTTTAAGTGACTTACATATATGCATACTTCTTAAAATTAATGTGGCCTGACGTTGCGAACTTAGCAAGTTCTTCTTCAGAGGCTAAAACAGAAATGACAGAGGTACATACATTAACATGGGGGTGCACACAAACATGCAGGGCTGAAAGAAGAAACACAAAAGGAGGATTAGGTGTGAAGGTGTGGAAAGATGCAGGGGAGGGTGGATGAGAGAAACAAAGAAACAAGGGGAGAGGGCAAACCACAAGGGGTCTTGTGTAAACAGGGGAGGGACCAGAAAGGGGAAGGATCAAAGGTCACAGGGAGTGGGAACGGACAAAAGAGTGTGAGAGTGAAGGGATGATGCTGGGGGGGGGGGGGGGGGGGGGACAGTATGGAGGTAGAGGGATGAAAGATGGGGGAAGATGGGTAAACACAAACAAGGAAGACCAGGTGGATTATCTGTAAAAGAAGACAATGGAGGAAGCAAAGGATTAGTCATTTCCATTGGATTTGATGTTGAGACCATGTGGTTGAATAGTTCGAAGACGATTCATCCACACTTTCTCTCTGCTGAGGCGAACTGAGTCCTTGCGATGGCCAAGAGATTCAATGCCCTGCAAAATCATATCAGAAATGGAGTGGTTAGGCAGGTTGAAGTGATGACCAACAGGGGTGTCTAGTTTCTTGGTGTTGACCGTTGACCGGTGGGCATAGAAACGCTTCTTGAGCGTATTCTTAGTCTCACCTACATACTGCACTCCACAGACCCTGCAAGAAATGAGATATATGACATTAGAGGTGTTACAAGTGATGTTACCAATGGTTCTGTGGGTAGTGACAGAAGAGTGGCCAGAAAAAGAGTCAGACTCCTGGATATGAATCTGGCAGACAACACATCTGGAACTGCACTTGAAAGTACCATGCTGGGTGGGAGGGGATGCATCTAAGGAAGGGACTTCAGCTCGAACAATCAAGTCCCGTAGATTTCGAGGACGCCTGTTAGCCAATGTGGGGCCGTCGGGGATGGCGCGGGCAAGGCGATCTGAAGTGTGGAGGATATGATGATTGTCATTAGTGATTTTGCGAAGGGGAGGGAGATTGGGGTGAAACGTGGTAACCAAGGGAATCATGGGTTTGGCCATGGCATCGGGGGTCTTTCCCGTGAGAGCTAGATTTCTGGGGATAGATTAATTTTAAGATTTATATATTCCAGGTCCATCCAGTCAGTAAGCAGTTTGCAGCAGTTTTACTTTTTTTCATATATATGCAATACCTTAGCAATGTGCAATGCAAAGAAGTCCTTGTTTTGCAAATATTGGCTCTCGATTGCTCCGATGTTGCAATTGTAGCTACACAGCAAAATTGTTATGTAATTTCTGGAAATACGATGCAGGTCACTGAAAGTATTCACCACTTCTACAATTGCTCGGTCCAGCATTCTGCCTTCGAAAATGCTTTAGGCGCATCAAAAGTGTTATGAGCATTGCATTGATTAATCTATGACTGCTGCTAAAAAAATTAATAAATAAATAAGTGTGTTCTACTTAATTAGCTTGTTAAAATGGGAGATCTTTTTAATGAATTTTTAGGTACAGCAACCACCCAGAACATCAGTACCATCTTGTACTTTTGCAAGCAAGCCTCATCATCAAACCTGTCCAGAAAGAACAGAGCAACCAAAGCAAGGACACACAGGTGACCAATCTTAATGGTATCATAATGATGACAATGTGTTTTCTCCCATCCCTCTAATGGAACGTTTCAGAAATGACCATAAGGCCCAACCACTTTGCGTGTAGGCCACATAGCATGTTTCAGCCACATGCAGACTTGTATTTGAGTCACCAAACATCGAGTTGAGTCCGAGTCGCCTCTCCTAAGTCCTGAGTCATGCAGGTTGAGTCCGAGTCATGTGTCACAATGGTTGAATCTGAGTCTGAGTCATGAGTTACCCTTAATTTATATTGGAAATAAACTTCAAACCTCACAGCGTAAATGTTCCATTTCTTTCACAGCTTTTCTCTAATGTAATGAACTGGAAATATTCATAAGATGGAATAAAAAAATACATACATGTCAAATAAGGCAAGGCGTCAGATAATCTGGTATCAAACACTATCAAGCTAGTATTTACATAACATCAAGTGTGGACGCTGGGGTACATTTTTCAAAACAAGCCAGCCAGTACTTAAATGTGTTTCTTTTGCACGGCAAAGACTGTATCGCTTGCTCAGGAAAGCGTTGTCTTCAAAACAATTTGTGATTTGTGGTAAGTTTGGTGGAGTCCCAAGTCACGCAAGTTAAGTTTGAGTCCAAGGCTGAGTCATGTGTCATCATGACCCGAGTCCGAGTAATGGTAATTGGACTCAAGTCGGACTCGAGTCCTAGTCCCAGTCCATGTCATGAGTCATCAGTGGCATAGCCAAGTGGGGGCTGGGGGGGGGGGGGCACAAATTCCCAGTGCCCCCCAGGTGTCCCCCAGGGTCGTTTGAAAGTATTTGTTTGAGTGATTAAAATGAAGAGAAATCTAGATGACTATTTTTGACTTCCCTGAACTGCACATCTTTATGAAATGTGAATAACATGCTAAGAAAAAAAGAGGGGCCCCTAGCGTCAAAATATGGCCCAGCCCCCCCCCCCCCAACCGCTTTTCGAATTTGCAGGACTTGCGGAAAATGGAAAATTGGGAGAAGATATTGTTGTTGGGTCCATCCTTGGACCTTGCTGTGATTGGGCAGGCTTAACAGCTTAAAGCATTGTTTCAGTTTTTGGAAAATACAATTGCCTGATTGAAAATACAATTGCCTATAAAATTAAATTTCTATCCTCTTGCTTAAAGTGAGGTACAAACACATATTTGTCTTTTAATGTAAATGCTGACATATATACTGATTAGTTTTTAAAATATAGTTTGAACAATACCCACTCCCAATGCCAGACATACAATTGTAGTTACTTTTACCTTAGGACACTCACTGTCGGGCAGAGATCAAGAGAGGTTTTCTGGGTCAGAAACCCCCCCCCCCCCCCCCCCCGCTCTGACACCAAAACAAAATTATATCAATTATAGTAATAATACTTACCTACATGTCCGCCACAATCAGACATAAAGAAATCCGATGGGCCTGGACCCCCCCCCCCTGCAAACATTCCTGGATCCGCCCCTGCTCGGTATATAAGAATTTCATTGTCATTGCTGAATTTGCACTTGGTGAATGCAGGAACGAAATGATGTGCCACATTGTAAACTCCAGGGTTTACAATCTTTCATGGCATTTGGTGAACTAAAATGACTAAATGCTATTAGTCATACAAGAACATCACCAACTTGGGTGTCATGAGTCCTTTTTCTCAGTATGCCCCTCTTCAGCATGATAGTCCTTATTTCTTTGTCCAGTGGCTGGCTTCAGTACGTCAACAGATGTTTGGTGCCAACAACTCAGTTTGGTGGTGCCCTGCGTGGGCTCCCATAGTATGAGAGGGCAGGCAGCGAGCTCTGAGTGGCAGACACAGTGACTAGCTAGCCTCCTTTCTCCCCGACTTTAATTTACACCTTCGCATGTAGTCCTCTCATAGCCATTGAGCACCAAGTGCAGGATGTGCATGTAGCACCCATCCAGTGCCTTCTGCTGTGCCGATGAATAGACGGCACTTGAAGTCATCTCTGAGCTCAGATTTCTATGCTGACTTCATGTTGTGGAGTGCGCTCCATCTGTAGGCCCCTGCTCCGTTGAGGCGATCAAAGCAGTCTAGTACTTGAAACCCTGCAAACCTCTAGCACAGTACCATCCATGGCAGTAACAGTGGTGTCCTCAGTGTTGAATGCCATGACCTTGGTCTTCTTGGCATTGAGCTGTAGCATGACCTTCTTACACTCTCTTGACCACCAGCAGCATCCTTCTGGCTTGCTCCGCTACATTTGAGGTCAAATTTGAAGTTGTCTGCGAAGTCGAGGTCCATGATGGTGACTGGAGGGATGTGAACACTTTTTCGCCTTGTCATTCGCCTTATTATGCTAGTTGTTCAGCAGTTAAGTAACAGTAAGTGGCATTTAAGTCACTTAAGACATGTTTGCATTGACTTACTTTTGCCAAAAAAAGTTATAACACCGATTGTTCGTTATTTTTTATTTTTGGCAATTTTTACCTATAGTCGCACTAGGATTGATTTTGGTCATTGGAAAGTCATTTGCTATATATCTGTGCCACCACTTCTTCTGACCTAATCTTCTGACCAGAGGTCTAGAAAAAAATGTAAATGCTGACATATATACATAACAGGGTTCAAATCCAGCTGCTGGCCAAAGTTGTGTCCTTGGGCAAGCCACTTCACCCCCACTTATCTTCACCCAGGAGTATAAATGGGTACCAGCATTTACCTGTGATGGACTGGCATCCCATCCGGGGGGATAGAAATATTCTGTCATTGCATGCCGCTGAAACTGGAGATAAACATCAGCTTGATGGGCCATATTGGCTTCTGACAGAACATTATGTATCAATCCTTACAATCAATTGATATATACATGTGTACGTATTGATTTATTTAGATTTTTTTCATCAATTTTTTACAATGAAGGAAAACTGACAAGGTTTATGCATAATAATTATAAGTGGAAAAGAGAAATTGACTGAAGATTTAAAAAAATATATATGTATATAACTAACCATTATTATCTCAATTCCCAAATCAGTCTGTGTGCTAATTTTTTTTTTTTTGAAACAATTTACAATTTCTGCACACTTGTAGGAATTGCCAGGAAAGGTCAAAAATAAAATCTGGAAATCACATTCAAATTCATCACTTTGTAAAGGTTAGTAAAGTCAATTTATGATCAGGGATATGCAGTACTGGTCAGAATATAAAGTTTCTATGAAAAAATTACAATGTTCCTTTTTTTTTTATCTTTCTCGTCAGCCTTTCTTTTTTTCTGCAAGAATACAATACCATTGTACAGGGTGAGTAAAAGAAATATCCCTTTTGGATCAGGGGTGGCGGAAGGCTTTTCAAACTGGGGGGGGGGGGGGGCAACACCAAAATGGGGCACTTGCTCAGAAAAAGGGGCACCTTCAGTCGGTGTGAAAGTAGAAGAAAAAAAATATGGTCCTGTTCATTTTACTATAAACCTACATGTGTATGATGAGGAACAAATTATGAATATGTGATGCGCGATAAAGCTACACGAGTCGTTTGTCGACCCTGGTCAAATATTTTTTTTATTACAGATTTGGAGAGAATACAACCTCAGCATTACTGCTGTGAAAACCGCATGCTGATACCATCTTTAGTGCAAAAATTATGGAAGTTGGAACACCAAGCAATGTGATGAAGTGATGCGATGAAGTGGCCCTATTTTGGCCTGTATCTCCAAATTAAAATTTCTGACAAACGACTCATTTACCTTGATCGCATCACATCTTGTCCATTTTGCTCTTTGTGTTTCTTTTACCTTGACATTATGTAGAGAGACCTTTTTTTTATCACGAGAGGAGCACTGTTGCTTTTGATGGCCAGTTCAGTGACCATTTTGTTCACTAAAACAAGTAACAAATAATTGTGAAGAGCACTATAATTTTGTAGGGACCAGTTTCAATCTAGAGGGGGGGCACAATTTAAATGTTGTGATGGAGGCACTAATTTTCAATTTTCAGTGGCGGCACCAGACTCTAAACTTTGCGGGGGGGGGGGGGGGGGGGAATGAAATATTTTGTTGGGGGCAGTCAAAATAAACCCTGTCAATGGTCAGGAAATAAGCCACTAGAGCAACTTAGAAGTGTATAGGTGTAGATTGGGGGGGGGGGGGGTGTTTGGGGTAACTTGGGATGCTTGGGCTGTCGTGACTTCTGACTAAGTGACCTTTGGCCTTTATTCTCGATCGGTATGGGGCGCCTTAGGTGACAAATTTAGATTAATGAGTACTACATCCTTTTCCCCATGTTCCACCTTGAATAAAAGTTATGCACATGTGAAAATGGAATCTGGCGAATTTAAAGATGATGATTGAATAAAACAATGTCGAAATAAATTCTGAACTGTTTGAGTGTCCTTATTTTGATGTCTCTACAAGGGCGGATCCAGAACACAATTTTTTGGGGGGCCAAAAAAAATTTGGTCCCACTAAAAAGTGGGTCAAAAAAACTTACGGCGTGGGGTTCGGGGCCCGCTTTGGCCCGAGACTTGTGTGGAGTTTCAAAGAGACGGGTGTGGAGTGGCCTGTCATAGAGTAGTGCAGCAGGTACAACTCCTGTTGTGGCATGCAGTGTTGCGTGGTAGTTTTGCAAGAACTTGTACAGACCTTGCTTCCATGGCATGCCATCAGCGATTGCAGTACGATATGTCTTTTTTACTGTTTTCATGAAGCGTTCCACCTCCCCATTGGCACAGGGCCAACGTGGGGTGACTTTCCGATGATGGAACCCCAGGTAGGCTGCGAAGGATAAAAACTCCGTCCTGTTAAAGGGTGGTCCGTTGTCAGTGCGGACTACCTTCAGCATGCAGAATGTGGCAAAGATGCGATCGAGTTTGGGGCATTAGTGATCTGCTCGCGAGAGCAACAATCAAAAGTTCATCCTTGTCATTGCGTTGGGCGAGGATACCAGCTAGGCCAACTGGGCTGGCATCAACTACGAGTTCATTTTTCCAACAATGCGCAACTCCTTCGCGGATCTGGCGGAGTGCTAGCTGGTGTTCAGGTCCCCATTGCCAGGGTGTGTCTTTCTTTGTCAACTCGCAGAAGGGTGCGGAAACGGTGGCAAGATCAGGTATGAACCGGCTACAGTACGTGACCAGTCCGAGGAAGCTGCGTACTTCGCTTGTGTTGGTAGGGTCAGGTACATTTTGGATGGCATCTACTTTCTTCTTGCCGGGGGAGATGCCGGTGGAGCTGAATACATGTCCGAATTATTCGACACGTGATTTGCCGAAGCTACACTTGTCTCTGTTCAGAGTCAGGTTACATTCGTGAATGCGTTGCAGACAGGCTGTGAGGCGTGCGTCGTGTTCCTGTTGACTGCGGCCAAACACTAAGATGTCATCGCTGATGTTGAGTGTGCCTGCGAGGCCGCGGAGCGCAGAAGAGATGGCGTTCTGGAAAACTTCGGCTGCAGAGCAAACGCTGAAGTTTAAACGCTTGTAACGGAACAGGTTCTTGTGTGTTGAAAACAGTCAGATGGTGAGACTTGGGGCCAATTCAACTTGGTGGTAACCTGCGTTTAGGTCAAGTTTGCTGACGATGGTGGATCCGTTGACCCGGGCAAGAATGTCGTCGATGGTGGGTGTAATGTGACGCTCTCGCTTGATGGCAGTGTTTACGTTTCGCATATCAACACACATGCGAATCTCGCATGGTCGATTAGGCTTTTCGACCACGTGGATGGGTGAAACCTATGGGGTTGGCTTATTGCGTACAGGCTCAATGATGTCAAGGCGAAGCAGTTTGTCCAGCTCATTCTCGACTTTCTTTCTGACATGAAACGGGACAACTTTACTCAAATGCCTTGGACAACCTCACTCAAATGGCATCCAACTCTGATCACTTTCATACCCGGATCCAACTTTGGTGCCAGTTCTAGCTGGCGGTTGTGCCTGTGGATCTCCTGTGTTGCTGTGGAAGCTCTCCATTCAAGTTCATGCGGTGATTTTTTCCAAAACAGTTAACATTAAAGGGGGCACTTTCTCTCTATGAAAGGGTCAGATTCAACATGCTTCACTTCCCGAAGTCCGGAAAAATATTAAGAACACACCAAATTACGTTTAACAGACGCTCTTTCTGTTGTAATAAATATATATTTTCCTCCACTATCTTGGAAGACACATACATCCAAGCTATTGCAATCATGTATCTTCAGGGTTCAATGTCATAAAAATACTTGAGATACCTTCTTAAGAGCTGGACTTTTTCATTTGTACAAACCCTTAAGTGCATTGGCCTGGTAAAACTATATTTTATAGAAACTGACAGCACGACAATCTTGTTTTGGACAGCATGGCCAATTTTGGACAAATTTACTGACAGGTAGTAATGTTCTTTACCCTTAATTTCCTCGTTAGTTGATCAGAGATTGTCCTCTACAGTTCATGCACATACGCCATTACAGAGCAAAAGTTTAATACCAAATTCTAAATTCAATATATGTTTGTGTTATTCTCCTGCTGTAGATAACGATTCAGAGCGACTTGATGACCTAATGAATTCAATCCAACGCTTGAAGGAGGAGAAACTAGCTCAGATAGAATGTTCATCACCCTTAACAAAGCTATGCAATGAGTGATTGAGTTCTGGAGAATTATGACTTGTTTCAAGTTAATGTTCAATTTCAGTACCTGCTAATTAAGAAAAAAACTACTTAGCAAGGATAAGTGATGCGAAAAGAATTCCAAGTTCGAATTTAACAACTGACACACTACATATGACAGCTCATGATGAATTAGTGGTTCTGTAGGAGCAGTTTTTATGTCCAATTTGACCCTTTGCTAGGATGATTATTCACTGAAAGTTGATTGTTTTACCTGTGAGAGTCAGTCCTTAATCTTGATTTGTGCACCTACCGTTTGAATCTTTAACATGTAGCTTGAAGGATGAATAATCACATGTGAGGTAAATTATGTCATTAAATATACATAATTTATAAGCGACTTATACAGAAACCTGATCCTTCATTACCTTTGGCAAACTTGGATAAGAATAATACTGGAAAAATAAGCCTGACATGGCAAGAGGCGTATTAAATTTTAAGCCTTCCACTTGTACAATTTATGCAATACTCACATCATCTATCATATTAATCACGGTTGTCATTGTATGGCATTTTGAATTTACGGGCCTGTTTGTAGAACATAATGAAAATAGATGGAATGAATTCGGAATAATGTACTCTAAATGCAACACGCAAGCACAACAAACGTGAACAACGACATTTTCTAAAAGTATGATGCACATGTTTGCGTTTGCGCACAGCAAAATAAAACGCTCATTTAATACTGATTGTGTCTTTCGGTATTTGGCATTAATTAGCTCAGCATAGAATACAAGTGCAGATATACAAGTAGCTGTATTCCAGTTTTCCATAGGTTTGTGCACAAACATGTACATGTATGCGTACAGTAGGCTTCACTTTATATAGCAAGTTAGGGCTCTAGTATTTAATAGCCCTATTAAAGGGGTTGTGAAATCTTTTGAAAACACTTTATCCCTAGCTTCTGCTTCATCTCTGGCTTCATCATCATTATATCTATCCAAACCAAGAGGACACCTCAAAAGTTTGGCCTGTAATAATACAACTTGAGCAGCATTCTTTCACGGTACACTCTTAAGGAATCCTAAAGCTAAAACTGGAGATGAAGTCAAGGTTCCAAAAACTCCACAATGATGGCTGTGAGTATCCATTAATTTATTATTGTTGTGTTTCAGTTAAATAAGCAGTGCGTTCGATTATTTCCCCTGCGCTACTCGTGCAAGTGCGACAGCGTTCGATTTACCTCTCACGTGACTTCTCGTGCTTACTCGAGCCTGGCCTAAGTAACCGATTCGCCGAGCCGGTTACTTGGGTAAGTATCCCATAAGGCCATGCAATGTCTGGCGGGTGCCTCAGCTCAGGCCGTGTCTGAAACAGGCTTCCATGGAGCATAGAGCTACAAACCCTATTAGCTCTATGCACAGAGCTACATGTATGGCTACGAAATATTGTCAGCGCGTCCCCGCATATTTTCACTGGGTGTGGACGTGCTCTAGACAGTCTGTTAATTGAATCGGATGCAGCCTGGAAAAAATGTTGCAACCTGACGCGCACCACTTCCACATTGTGTACAAAGTCTATGGAGAGTCAAGAACTTTTTTCCCTAACAAAATTGGAAATATTTCTCAATCCCAGATTCATGTCTTATCATCATTTTTGCAATGAATGACCTTCATTTAGATGATATATGAAGAAAAAAGTGGCGTCAGGTTGCAACATCCCCCCCCCCCCCCCCCCCCCCGGAAAAGGGAAAAAAAAAAAAAAAGGAAAAAAAAAAGAGAGAAAAAAAGAAAAGAAAAGAGGCAAGAAGTCATAATGGCGCAAATTTAATGGGTGGGGGGAGGCAAAATGTCCCTACCCCCCTCTAAAACTGATAAAGTCGAGAAAATGTTGAGAAAAACAGGATTTTTTGGGAAAACATGTTTTGCCCCCCTCTAGAAACATCCTGGCGACGCCCATGTTTGCAGCTCTTGCACGAAACTTTACCCGAAGTTTGCTCGTACCCCTGCCCTACAAACAGGACACTGGGATATGCTGATGAGCTTCACAGAATCTTATGAAGGAAGAGGCCTATGACCTATGTATAAAGCATCTGGCTGCAGCTGTTCAAGACCACATCTAGCCAATGTACACAAATGCTATCCGAAAAACTTCCCATAGAAATGCGCACATTCCATACCGGATGTGATTTCTGTTTCATTGCGGACCATGTGGACAAAATTTTGATCGTCGCATAATGCAAATCGACCGTTCGTGATTCGAAACGGAGCCCGAGCAAGTGACAGGAATTGTAAATTTACAACATAGATAAGTTTTACAGAATTTCCTACTTTATTACGCTTTTCAACGAAAAAAACCATCTCTGAACTGGACTAAAAGAGTGATGAATCAGTCTTAATGGCCGTTTCAAATCTTGTAGAGTCACGAGGGTGATGACGCGCAGGTCACAGGTCACGCAAAATCCAACCAATCAGAACGTGAATTCATCAGAGTATCCCAGCGTCCTGTTAGCAGAGCCGCGGGGGAACGAGCGAGAAAGTTATTGGGACCGCTCAGTTCGTGTGAGGGTTATTTGGATTACATAGTATAGCCTGCCTTGACGGTAAATCGGGTTAAGTTACCCTTCTTGTGTTACAGTTATTGAGGCAGCTCAATCTATGTGAAGGTTATTGGAACTGGGCTATTTCATAACAGGAATTGTACATTGTATAAGTTTGTTACACATGGTGCAGTTGACCACATGAGGGTTATGTTTAAGTTTACTATAAAGTGACCCTTGTTATAACCAGTGAATAATATACCAGGCAATAATATGTGAGATATAATTCATCGCCTTGTATTATTGTTAAGGGTGCATTGTTGTATATTATTGTTAAGCTGTGATTATTGAACAAATCTATTGATGATTGACAGTCTTGAATAAATCCTATCGATAATCATCTTTGGAATCTTTGGAGGGTTACCCAAGTTCACTTTAAGACCTATTGTCGCTATTTGTATTGCTCTAATTCCATTCAAGTGTTTAACTCAATCACAAAACAGTGGTAAATTTCCACCAAACGAACAGCCCCTAGGCTTAGTCCACCCTTTGTTAATTGTCCCCCCCCCTTTTGTTTGGGTAGCCGCTCACCTGTTCATTAGGCTAATAAATAATTTGTGGGATAATAGGTGCGGGTTAGAGTCCTGGGATAAATAAGACCATGCAGTTCCCCTGGGTTGAACATGTAAGGTTGAACATAGTCCGAATGTCTTTAAACTTGGTGGGCAGGTAGATACTGTTAATAGTATGCAAAATCTGAAGTGACGTCATGATGAAGTTGTAATGATTGGATGAATCCGATTGAATAAGAAGCACACTTGAGATGTTTCAGCTAGCTAAGAATAGTGTATTGTGTGTCTATTAAAACAAGATGGCTGCCTACATGGACTACACACTCACATGGGTGCACACCGGTAAATCGATCCGCCAAGCTCATGAATAAAAGTTATACCCTCAAAATATTCTATATTAGAGAGTTCTGAGCGCCGTAAAATTGGGGAATTGAAGAGATATGGTAATGAACCTCTGGCCCGGACTTGGGGCTTCCAATTCTGAGCATTTTGGATGCTATTGGGCTCGAAAGTGGCGCTATTTTGCCATGTTGTGGAGGGATCGTTTTTCAAGATGGCCACTTTTCCGCTTTGGGGGAAATAGGGGTCGTCTTCTTTGCGTGAAAATATCTCGAAAAGTCAATGGTCAACCCACCAAAAATCGAAAAGAAAATGAAAGATGACACATTGATCATCATTTTTCTGTGCAGCTTGAATACCTGTGAGAGTTTTGAGTATTTTTAAAATAATTTTGAAGTATGGGCATTTAGCACTAGTGTCTATGGGAGTTTATTTGCAGGTATGCACCCTATAAAGAATCACAAAGATGGCCGTTTCGCGCATGCGCTGTGCCGCGGCAGTGGTCTTTTCAGTGGGCGGAACCTACGGGGAGGGGGAAAAATGTTTTAAAGGTATCAACAAGGGTTTTTTTTCCGTAACGGATGCTTCCAATCATAAGGGAGCAGTAGGCTATCACCCGATTACAACAATTGATAGTTGAAAAGGGGGGGGGGGGGCATTTTGAGCTTAAAAGTAGTTGAAACTCAATTTATTGTCGCTGGGGGCGCTCTACAGCTTAGCAGGGGCAAAACAATCACTATTTTCGGGCTTAATATCGACCTCGGATAATATTTTTCTTTCATTTTTTTTTCTTCAAAATATTGACTTTGGAGATATTCTGCTTGTCCTGAATGTGGTTTTGTGCTAAAATTTAAAAGTTGCCTGCTTTTATAAAGAATCACAAAGATGGCCGTTTCGCGCATGCGCTGTGCCGCGGCAGTGGTCTTTTCAGTGGGCGGAACCTACGGGGAGGGGGAAAAATGTTTTAAAGGTATCAACAAGGGTTTTTTTCCGTAACGGATGCTTCCAATCATAAGGGAGCAGTAGGCTATCACCCGATTACAACAATTGATAGTTGAAAAGGGGGGGGGGGGCATTTTGAGCTTAAAAGTAGTTGAAACTCAATTTATTGTCACTGGGGGCGCTCTACAGCTTAGCAGGGGCAAAACAATCACTATTTTCGGGCTTAATATCGACCTCGGATAATATTTTTCTTTCATTTTTTTTTTTCAAAATATTGACTATGGAGATATTCTGCTTGTCCTGAATGTGGTTTTGTGCTAAAATTTAAAAGTTGCCTGCTATTATAAAGAATCACAAAGATGGCCGTTTCGCGCATGCGCTGTGCCGCGGCAGTGGTCTTTTCAGTGGGCGGAACCTACGGGGAGGGGGAAAAATGTTTTAAAGGTATCAACAAGGGTTTTTTTTCCGTAACGGATGCTTCCAATCATAAGGGAGCAGTAGGCTATCACCCGATTACAACAATTGATAGTTGAAAAGGGGGGGGGGGGGGGGGCATTTTGAGCTTAAAAGTAGTTGAAACTCAATTTATTGTCGCTGGGGGCGCTCTACAGCTTAGCAGGGGCAAAACAATCACTATTTTCGGGCTTAATATCGACCTCGGATAATATTTTTCTTTAATTTTTTTTTCTTCAAAATATTGACTTTGGAGATATTCTGCTTGTCCTGAATGTGGTTTTGTGCTAAAATTTAAAAGTTGCCTGCTATTATAGGGTGCACACCGGTAAATCGATCCGCCAAGCTCATGAATAAAAGTTATACCCTCAAAATATTCTATATTAGAGAGTTCTGAGCGCCGTAAAATTGGGGAATTGAAGAGATATGGTAATGAACCTCTGGCCCGGACTTGGGGCTTCCAATTCTGAGCATTTTGGATGCTATTGGGCTCGAAAGTGGCGCTATTTTGCCATGTTGTGGAGGGATCGTTTTTCAAGATGGCCACTTTTCCTCTTTGGGGGAAATAGGGGTCGTCTTCTTTGCGTGAAAATATCTCGAAAAGTCAATGGTCAACCCACCAAAAATCGAAAAGAAAATGAAAGATGACACATTGATCATCATTTTTCTGTGCAGCTTGAATACCTGTGAGAGTTTTGAGTATTTTTAAAATAATTTTGAAGTATGGGCATTTAGCACTAGTGTCTATGGGAGTTTATTTGCAGGTATGCACCCACATGGTTATATGCTCTAGACAATAGAGGGCGCTATGCATAATTATAAGTGGCAGAGTTAAATAATGAATGCACACATTCATTACATCTCCCCTTTTAAACCAAACACTTATCCACTTGATAAAGGCGATCAACTAAAGCTGGTTCAGAGTACAACTTTAAAACAAGTTCCTAATCCTCAACATTTTACATTTTAACTTCTTCCAACTGTCCACTTTTTGTTTGTTTCGGAACAGGTTTTTTTTAACTGTTGAGTGGTGACTGTTGTCTCTCTGTCTCTTTTTTTTTTTTTTTTTTTTAAAACAATTATGGAAATTGAAATGAGATTGCCTCATGAAACAA